TTGACAAATTCATCTACCAATCTGTAGGCACGAATTGACGCTGCACCTTGAATAGATTCCTGAAATGCTTATACATGTTAAACGTTGTAAAACGGGGAAATCTGAAAAAAACCAACTTGGAAATGGGAGTAGATCGGTGACCTCGACGCCGATTCAAGACGTTTCAACTGTCGTGAAGTACTTACATAGAATCGCTAAAAATACGAAGGATCAAGAACTTGCAACTCAAAAAAATTCGGGTAAGGGAGACAATCCTTAGCAACGTGTAGAACCCGGATGTAATAAGGTCTTCAAACAGGTAGCCTTGAAACGCGCAGTGTGTGTCAGGCAACAGTAGCTTGTCAAAAGTAGGCCATCACGTGAAGCGGGCGGGGGACGCGGTGACCGCGAATGGTATGTCCTGACCTACAGCTGAAAACGCGCTTTTGCAATTGAACCCAGTGGACCTTAGTTTTTCGGGTGGTCTTTATTACCGTGAAGAACGGAAAAGGTGGTGGTAGACGGAAAGAAAAATTCACCCAAAGTCTTGATTGAAAGTGTTTTTACCATAGATGCCCAGGACAAGATAGGGGTGAGAAATGGAAATCGGGAAGAAGTTCAGGGAAATAGAGGCCGACCGCCTAAAAGCTCAGAACAAGGTAGGAGGTGAGAAAGCTTGCCTCAACCCCCTGCCTGGTATATGAGAAATCAAAGCGTCACTAGGAGGACACAGTATGGAGGGCGGTCGCATTTCGGGCACGGACCTTATCCTCCCCTCCCCTCCTAGTAAAGTCTCCTCTTCTCAACAATGCATGTCTCAGTAATTTGCTTTTTGTAGGAAGACAATCATTGAAGTTAAATGGATTAATTGCTTCCCCACGCCTTTCTGTGAGAGTTTGAGTATAATCGCTAGCTTGGGAAACACGAGCTTGGCTGCTTTCATAGTCCGCCAGCCGGCCCGCGAGCGCGCGCGCGGACGGGGGACTACTCGGCCAGCGGTATCGATCAAGATTCAGTTTATAAACAAGGGGCAAGCGCCGCTCCCGGTCGGCGTGCTCGCGGGCCGGTCGGCGGACTATGAAAGCAGCCTTTGAGTGTTGATGACCCGACCTATTTTAGCAGGTTCTTCGATGTTGCTAAGGTATTGCCTGATAAATTAGGGATATCATTAGGGGATAGGGATAGAAGCGAAAGCACGTCAACAAAACGACAAGCAACAACTGTATAATACGTTGTAAGGACACACCAAAAACAGGAAATATATGGCAAACAGAGGCCCGAGAGCAGCTACGGAAACCGGTGTCGACCATATAATAACGGCAAGTATTTCGATCGAGGCTATCAGCGTGCGTACAAATGACATCAGAGATCGAGGTATGGCATTGTCGAGACAGTCGACATCCTTCAACGCAACATACAAGCAAACAAACTACACACCAAAGCAATGCACAAAGCCATACATTAACACAGCTAGCAAACAATCGTCACGTGCTACATTTGTTTACAAAAATAGCGTTACTTATCGTTACGTAACAAAATAAATTAGGTAAATTTTCCCACAGACAAAGGACAAATAACAATAGTCTTTCTGGAAGCTCTCAAAAGCCGCATATGGGGTGGCTGCGCCTACAGGGTAAGCCACTCCACCATACTATAGCCAGTCCGAGCTTGAAGTAATTTTACTTTACTAGAATAATTGTACAAGATCAAGCTCGAGTGACTAAGTATGACTGGTTCAGCAAGACGTAGTTAACCTGAAAACAATTACGTGGCACTAGCCTCTGCTTTTTTCGCTGGGATAGAAAATATCTGGGAACGAAATCAATCCGGTTGATTTTGTGAGAAACCGGAAAAGCTCATGTATATGGGGCTCCTATAGAAGTGGGTATGGGTACATTTACCCAGAGCTCGATGGACGCGGCAAGCCGCGCGGCGAAACATGTGGTGATTAAAACGACTCTGGCCCCTGTCATTGGGGCACAAATTTGGAGTGGGGCGGAGAAGTAGCATCAGCTGGCCCTACTTATCCAACCTACTTGGAACGCGTGCCCCAATGGCAGGTGCCGAAGTCGTTTTGATCACCACGAATTTCGCCGCGCGGTTTGCCGCGTCCGTCCAGTTCTGGGTGAATGTTCTGTCCCCCCACGGAATGTACTCCGCGCAAGAGGTTGGTACGTAATACTTTGCGGTCCCTAAGGTTTACAAGTCTCCGAAGGCTGAAGATGTGAGAGGGCTCTTTCAGAACGTTGACTGGAATAATACAGCGGGAAGAACAGTCAGATGACAGAGACTTCATCAGTTAGTTGACAGTAGACAAGACGCTGAACAAAGGAGCACGAAGCGCGTACATAAACTCTAGCAAATGAACGACGGATATCAAATTCTGATTAATCCCCTTACATAGCTGTAAGTATGTACTGTATACAGTGAGCCCCCGAAAATGGGCCTTTTCTCACTCATTCGGTCCAAAAAGCATAGACCAAATTGATGTTCAAGCTGGGACCGACCACAAAGGGCGACTAAGGCCTAAAAAACATGTGGTAGCCACATTTCAGGGGGCCCATGTAAGGATTAAAATCAGAATTTGGTTAATTATTCTAGGAAAAGCGCATGCTAACCAGAATATAGAAATAGAAGACGAAGACTGGCACTAGAAGAAAGATAATTGGCGGCGTTGCGTAGATAGGTACCGCAATGATTATCAGAGCCTGTACGGCAGAACCAACGAACGTCAAGACAGCACTCGGTAGTCGAGTATCCAGCAATTCCATATCCTGCATGCAATATACACAGCCACACACGAATATCAATCAAACTGCCATTAGAACAGTGACAAAGTGATTTGCTATTTCACTATGAAGCTCAGATTACTGTCCGATCCGCAACATTGCGTTAGATATACGCTACAAAACAAGGACGGACGAGTTGCAGCAGTCCCGTATACTGTAACAGCTCTTCTTCCCCTAGCACGCTTTAAAAGCCATGCCTAAAAACTACGATCAAAAGCAAGCGATTGCATCGCACATCCATGCAGCCGTAGGTGTTCGAGACTGCTATTAAAGTACTCTGAATTGTCACCCTGGACCTAATTGAGTAAGTAGAACAAACGACTTGGAACCGGACTTTAGTGTGACCGCGATGACGCCTCTTGCCCATAAATCGTGCCCAAAATTCTCTTGTCTTTATAGCATATATCAGGTGCGGAAGAGTGAGAATGTGAATATTGCCGCAAATTTTCGAACTTAAAGGCACAGTTGACGACAATTTTGAAGTACCCGTTTTTATTTGACAAACGGAAGTTTGGGTTGAGAGTCCATCGATAGCGTAGAAAGCAAGAAAATTATCCGATTTTGAGAAAAATAGAGCTCCTCAAAGGTAACAGAAGTGGACGAGGTTACCATGACGGATATAACACGGAAGGAGTATTTGGACGAGATTTCAGTAGTTGCAATTGCGCAATGAACTGACTACATTAAGCCAGAACTGTACAGAACTGTCTTTCACTGTCGCTATAGGTCATAACCAGTTGTTCTGTCTCTCTACTTGGCCTCTTCGCGAGTGGCGCATTCTCTATAGTGCCGGCGAAACTCGTCCGAGGATACACACTGGAGAATCTTTGAGCCTTTATAATGCCCCATCTATGCCGTTTTCAGAAATGGCACCGTCACGTACGGCATACGGAGGTTCTAAAAATTCATTTTGGCGGGATATCACAAAAGTCGCTTTTATCGTGAACTGTGCCTTTGAAACAGCTCATGGACCTATGAGTAGGGACGCACCGCGAGCGCGCGTCATCGACTGTAGGTCTCTGCAGCGGCCTGTGTGACGGGCCGAAAATGCTAGCGAAAAGCTAAATATTTTTAG